ATAGAGGACCTACAATAATGTACAGTATTTGAAAAATAATGTGTTTTTTGAACATTAAAGCATGTCAACATATTCTGTTACACCAAATACACAAAATAATGATCTTTAAAAAAGCATCATATGACCCCTTTAACTGATTGTATTAATCGGTCAAAATTCTATACGGTCGGTTAACGATTAACCGGTTAAAATGAACATCCCTACTTGGCACATGTTCAAACTAGACTTTTTCATATCATGAACGCAAAATGTCAATTACTCACAAGTCATTTATTGATGAATCAACAAATCAGGTCTTAGAGACCTGAAATCCCCATATCATGTAACACTATAATACAAAGGAAAATAACTATCATGACTATCAATTAGCAGGTATTTAAAACTACTAATGCAAGAGGACTCACTCTGTTTGGGGTGATTTTGTAGAGAGTTGCTGTGGAGAGCCCACTGGTGTTTGTGCAGAAACTGGTGTGGGAGAGATGGTTAAAGCAACAGCTGTGGCTGGTGCTAACTGACCCTTTGTCAAACCTAGAAAACGATTAAACCTGCAAGAAAAAAAAGAGGTTCACAGCAGGAAATACCATGCACCAACTCACTGTTAGAGACTAGTTGTACAGTATATACAGTAACCTCACCTGCTCCAGACACTACCCTTCCCTTCCACAGGGGGGCGCTCTTCTTTTGTAACTCTAGAGGAGGACAGAATACATAAATCAGTGTGTATACTACAATTTTACATGTTCTGTGTTTAATAAAAGTGGTATTTGGTTGTGCAGAAGTCACAATCCTAGGGTGCTGTGGGTATCTGCCACAATGTGGTTGCTCAGGTGTGAGAGATTTCTCTGGGAAGTTATTTACTGGCTTCATTCAAAGAAGCAAATATACAGACAAGCCACATGATTTGTTGCATCATTAATACCCATAATGCTCCACTTACGATTAAGGTGAACAGATCAGTCAGTATACCGTTCTGAATATTTTTATTGAAGACTAAGATTTGCATCCTGGGAGAGGGAATTTAACACACCTCTGAAGCTGAGCACGCCGCACAGCTTCCTGCAGTTCGAACAGTCGCTCTTTGTACTGATTCTTCTCCATGACCACCCGGGCCATTTCAGAACGAGAGAAGCGACGGAGGGAGGTAGGTAGCGAGGCCTGGAGAGAGCAAGAGAGAACGAGGCAGCAACTAGTGACTGATTTCAATGTTTCTAAGAAATAGAGGACAGTATAATTTCCAGAATAGTGATGTCCATAAACATTTCTGAAATCTATCATAGACTTACATCAGGGTCCTCTGACTGGATTGTCTCAAGCTCTTTTCGTAACCTGTTTTAAAATATAAAAAGCCATTTCATAAAAAAACATACATAACAAAACAAGCAAAACACAAACTGTTCCCTATTCATTTGAACCATTAAAAGTAATAAAACAGATAAAAATTACTATTCAAGAGCTTTGGTTCAGTAAGTTTTTTGGAGAAATCATTACTTTTATTCAGCAGGGACACATTAAAATGATCAAATGTAACTGTAAAGACAGTTTACAAAATTTGTACTTCAAATAAATGCTGTTTCTTTTGAACTTTCTATTCACCAAAGAATGAAACAAATGTGTAGTTTCCACAAAAATATTAATCATCATGAATGTTTTCAACATGATGATAAGAAATGTTTCCTGAGCACCAAATCAGCATATTAGAATGATTTCTGAAAGAACATGTGACACTGATGACTGCTATTACATCACAGGAATACATTCATTTTAAAATGTATTAAAATAGAAAACAGTTCTTTTAAAATTTTTATATTTCATAATTTTTCTGTTTTTTGATAATATACCAATACCAGATTTTAAATGGTACTGTACATATTTTTCTTAATCTCAATCCTATTAAATTTTCATCATTCTTAGTTTCTGAAAATACTAAGCAGTGTCATTGATTTTTGAGTTTGACTTTAAACTGTCATTTCTAATGTTAAGTATTTACTAAACTGCTGAAACTGAAATAAGTTGAGGTAAATACCGCTTGATTTCATCCTCCATCTCTTTGGTTTTTCCTTCCAGTCGGCTGATGGTGTCACGGCAAGAATCAAGTTCCATATTCAGGCCAGATCTCTCACTGGTCAGCTCCTCAACACGGGATATAAGGGCCTTACGAGCAGTATCCACCATTTCACTGAGACAGAGACAATGACAGGGATACACACATGAATAGAGACAGATAGAGGAAAAAACTGAATGGTTAACACATTAACCATTGATTGATAAGAAAAGCTGTATTCTATCTTACTGAGTGTGTTTTAGTTCCTCATATTGAGAAAGAATCTGCTCGAACTGGTCTGTGCTATCTGTAAACCAAACCAAAACACAGAGATTCAACCACACACATATTTAGACAGTGATGGATCTATATTAAAGTAAAGCATAATGTAAAGTCAGTTGGTTATTAGTGCTAAATAAACCCATTAAAATAAACAAGGGGTTTTGAAATGATCCTGAAATGGTTTATTTTACAAAAAATAACCAGCTGACTGTACATTTTAATGCTTATTACAAGGCCGTACCAAAAAAATAAATAAATTAATGGACATGAAATATTAGCTTGGGGTGAAATTATTTTATTATATGAAAAGAAAGGGGTGACAGAGTGATACGTGAAACTAGCACAGTGTAGAAGAGCAACGGTCAAATTTACAGTTTAGTGGTCACTATACAAAAATATTTGAATGCTGCAATTGACCAACCAGAATCAAGTGTTCCAGAGAGCTGCATAATAAACGCATTTAGCGTTTCTCTGTTGTTGCAGCCTGAAGTAATATGATTTAAATGAAAACATTTTTGTTTGTGGTTAATAGGATTGATGCTATTCTCCCTGTTTGCAATTGAAATTTCTTCTAAACAACACACATACATTCAAATTAAACACATGATTGTACCTCTGACACTGGCCCCCTGGTCGACGTTTTCTACATATTCCTTGCTGAGTTCAGATAACTCTGAAAACACAGAGTCTGTATTTCTCAACTCCCATTCCAAGAAATCAGAGTCATTATCCGTCTCTTCCTCCTCCTTCGTTTTTTCTCCATCTTTCACCTTCTGGTCTTCATCCACCTCTCTCTTATCCTCCTGTGCTTGTTTCATTTCATCAAACAAACTAGAGTTGAATTCAGAAGTTGCTGTCTTTGAACAAACAAGGGAGCTGAGAGAGAGAGAGAGAGAGAGAGAGAGAGAGAGAGAGAGAGAGAGAGAGAGAGAGAGAGAGAGACGGAACGAAAAGACAGATAAAAAAGATAACATGTTTATGGGAAATAGATTAATTATTTGTATAAGAGAAATACAATCAAATATCATCAAATAATAACTCAGATTGTGTTTCTTCTTGTGTTTCCATGAAGGAAAAAATGACAATGAATCATCTAACATGACCAAATAAAAGAACATCTACAGGATGTTACACACATTAAGAGATACAAACTCGCACTCACTTCCTGGACTCAGTAAGAGAAAAAGTGCAAGATAAAAAAGAAAGAAAAGAAAGTCAGAAAGCACCTTTACAGTATAAAAAACAACTGTTTTCTATTATAATATATTTTAAAATGTCATTTTTCCTGTGATAGCAAAGCTGAATGTTCATATACATTATATTCAACATTGTCAAAACTGCAACAGTCTAGGACAAAACAATGAGATGTTACGGTCCCTCTTTATTAATTTCTGTACCTTTTTTCAATAAAACCCTTCAAATGAGCCAACTCAGGGGTGGAGCTTATGATGCCACTGTTAAAGGACGGATCATTATTATGGTTAACTTCAGCATCTGTCACTTTGCTGTTGCTGGTATCGATCATTTCTGACGCAGTGGAATCAGGGGCACTAACAGCTTTTGGATCATGCTGCGAAATAAAAAGGGTAAAAAAGATGATGTTGTGAAAGTACAGATACTTATTGTTTTATAGTAGACATTAATGCACAAATATGCAAAGTACTGTTTGGAGAAAACATAGTTTGCCTCCGCTGAATTACAAATAAATGAACCTCTTCAGTGGAGGTGTCTGTTTCTGCTTCCGAATGTTTGCTGTGCACATGATTCCTGCAAACAAAGAGAATTTCCTGCTGACACATAACAACACTGTAATTTTTAACTTCTCAAATGCACAAGAAATTATAGTCTTTTTTTGCTAATCATGCTAAGCAAGAAATGTGTACCACATTGTGGGATTCCATTACCTCTCAGCTCAACTCAAGAAAGGGGAAGTGTGTGTTACCTAAAAGTGAAGGCTTCACTCTCCCACTCCTTTTTCTTTTCCAGCAGATCTCGGTGTGTCAGTACTAACTGGATATTAAGAGAAGATTTAAAAAATATTTTAGAAAGAGTAATTTAAAGTAACCAACAAGCTAAAACAGATGCACAGACTTGAGAGATGACAGACCTTGTTATGTGTATGTTTGATTGAGCTCAGCTCTCGTGTCAGATTTGCTTTCTGCTCCTCCAAAGCCATCACTACAAATAAAAGACAATGGTTACATACTTAAAATATACATTTATATAGACCATGCCAATGTGTCACCAATCTAGACAGGCGGACAGAGGGCAGAAGGGTGAAAGGTTTTATTCGGAGAGTAAACTCACATTGATCAGCTTGTTCCCTGGCTTTCTTCTCCAGCTGTCTTTCTCTCCTTTCTCTCTCCTTTTCTCTTGCACGCATTGCCCTCCTCTCTTGCTCAAACTGGTCATCCAACTCCAAATAGCGCTGATGGTATGTAGACAAGTTTAATTTTTAAAAAGTTTTTACATTTAAAAGGTGCAACTTTGTCATTTCCTTTCTAATTACAAAAGTTCTGCACAATGAAATACATAATAAATATGTTTAAAATCATGCACACTCACATGAGATGACATCAGTTAAGATATATTATTCATGGTTGACTGCGAATTGTGCGAAATGTATATTTATTTAATAATAATATTTTTAAAATTATTATTATTGTTAAACTCAATGTAGTTGAATTAATAGGATGTGAATTAATTAATAATTACAAATGAATAATTAAATATTATAATGGATATTAAAAAAACAATGTGACCAATTTGAACAGAACTTATCCAGCCGGTCACAAATAGCTTTATTCTGTTTATGGTGTATTAAGCTTCGCATAAACTGATAATTCCGATAAACCGATAATACCGATAAAAAGGGCCATGAAGGGGCCACTAACTCTGCCTATGGGTGTCAATATAAAATCCAAAACTACAGTACTGTAATACAGAGCACCTGAGTTCACGTTTAAAGTTGAAAAAAAATAAAGCTTAAACTGTCAATTATTTTTGAAATAATTACATTTAAAAGGTTAAAAGGTCACAAAAGACCTTCAATTCTTCCTTCACACAGTTCTCTCTCACCTCTTGGCTCTCTCTCCTCAGGGTTTTCTCAGTCTGATACCTCTCCAGCAGTTCTTCTCTCTCTGCTTTCTCTCTCTCTGCCTCCTCCTCTCTCTCTCTCAGCTGAGCCCTGCAGCTCGCCAGCCCTTCCAGAACCCAGACGAGGATGGGCAGCAGGGACTCCACCACACCAGCTCCATGAGTCTCCACCACCGACTACAAAGAAACAGTCTGAATCGTATTTGTTTGCAGCGGTGTTCCCCCAACACATTTAATGCTCTTATCTTAGTGGGCAGCTGCACTCACAGGAAGAGCGATACTTATGACTTGTGCTTATAAAGGGGGAAAATACTACGGTTCACTTCCCTTACGAAAAGTCAGCAAAACATCTGCTCTCTGAACTTAACACTTGTGAAAAGTGGCAAATGATAAAAATGCCTCTAAAGGTCCTGTTTACACCGAGAACAACAATGTTCTGTTTATTATGTATCTGTATCTGCAAACTTTAAATGCTCGAGCTCCTTGAAGTCGAGCGAATTCTGACTGAATGTTTTTATCATTCATCAGCTGGAAAAAGAGTTCTGAAAGTGATTCCAACAATCGGTCATTATCGTTATAGTTGTGGTGTGAATTTCCCTATTCTCACAGAATTAGAACGATTTTTAAACCTATCGTTCTCATGATATTTATCATCCTTGGTGTGAACAGGCCTTAAAAGTAATTTTAATTGGTGGGTGAATAAAGGTGGATACTCTTAACTGGTTACCTGCAGCTCCGAATACAGTTTCCCCGCCTCCTCGCTCACAATATCTGGATCCAGCTCCAGTTCTCCACTTCCACAAAGAGCACTTTCACCGTAATCCATGTTTCACAGCTCTCCGTTCTCTGACTGGCTTATTTAATGTCACTATAATTTGAATGTACCCCCAGTCTTGCTGTTGAACTTTGCTATTCAACCCAAACCTCTTCCTTTTTATCACACTGTTTTCACTACCTTAAAATGGTTTCAGGGTGTACCAAAACAAGCATGTGCATCTACTGAAATATCTCTTCTTGCCCCTATAAATATCTACCTGAGAAGCAGAACTGTTTTCTTAAGCCACATGGTATTTCCAGTTAATTCCTCCTCTTCCATGCTTCTCGTTTTCTGTTTCACATTCATTTTCAAAAACTAAACTGACTGAAGTCATTGGAGTTAGTCGGCACTGCTCATGTCTGGAGGTGTTTTGGTGTCCATTCTGGTGGAATACAAAGGGTAGTAACATGCGTTAGTACAAACCATTTTGAACAACTTGTCATTTATGCACTATTAATACCCCACATTGACAGCATGGACTGTCTACATGGACTATTCAAGTGAACCATAAAATGGGGCAACCAGTTACACAACCTAAAATATATTTCTCTAATACGTTTACATAAATGTTAACAGAAATCTCGTCCATCTTCATGATCAACTACTCCAAAACTTGTTAAGCTCAACTGTTTGGTTGCATTTTTAGATCTAATGTTGTAAAATCATACAACTTAACTTTTGTTATTAAATTGTCTGTAGCTCACCCAAATATAATGCTTGTTTTTTATATAGATATGTAAATACATTTTTTTATATTCTTTGTCTAGTTCACCCTAAATAGTGAACAAGCTAGTGAATAAATGATTTATAACGACTAAAATAAAAACAACGTCAAGCAAATGTGTGCACATACTGTATGCACGCATATATAAGCTCGCACACACATTTATAGCCCCATAAAGGCACACACGTCTCTCAGACTCAAAGAAACATTACCGCATGAATAGAAAGTACACAAATAAACTTTAATATTCAACAGAAAGGCAAATAAACTTTGCGTGACGTCGGCAAACACCTTGAACGCAGTCTGCCTGTTCCTGCATTGACACTTGGTCTTTTAGCGGTACATTTCACCAGTAAACGATTATTTATTGCGATTATAGCATATTTATCAACTCACCTTTACATATTAGTGAGGCTCGGACACCATGTCTATAAGTTCATGCGGATGAAATTCAAGTCCTTCGCTTTAGAAGCGATATCAATTACTCTAAACAGGTTAAAGAAGGAGGCGCGGTTAGAGCGTCAGCAGTTTGAGTGACGTTAGTCTGGACCTATCAAAAAGAAGATCGCTGAATAAGAACCAATAATTATGCAGAAGGGACGGAGATGGGCGGGGTTTCTCCGACGAGAAATGAAAACTTTCCTGAAACTTGAACGTTGGCACGTGATGGCTCAGACTTATCACGTGACATCTGGGTAGAAAAACACACCTGGCTAAATACTTCACATTCCAGTGTGTTTGAGAGGTTTTAGAAAATCAAAGGTTGAACGGTTTTATCTTGACCGAGTTTACCACCGTTAGTTTTTAGGTTTGCGTTCATGTTTATTCTGACCTGCGACGCTCCACAGGCAGCGACTCACCGACACACTATCAGATGTCCCCCGCTGCTGTTTGACAGGAGAGGAAACCGAAAGAGATCTTCTGCTGCTGGCACCGACTCAACTCAAGAATAATGGGCACACTGGACGAATACGGTACACTGGCAACAACGTTATCATTTTAAAATGATCTCTTGAATTATATTACATTCACTGTAGTAAAAAGTTTCATTGTTTTATAATAATTAATGCCAAAAATGCAATATTTTGTCATGATATTTTCTCATTTTATATTTGTTTGTGCTAACTGCATTTGTCAAGCTAAAACCTTTACCTATTTTGTTGCAAAAAACATTTTTTTTAAATAAAATATAAATCTTTAATTTATTGGATTTCATTTACTTTATTTTAACTTTAAATGTTACGCATTTTGACTATATTTAATTTAAATGTTTGTTTTTTTAATGTATATGTGTGTAATATTGTAAAGTCAAAACCAATACAGGTATAAAACTGTATTTAGACATTCCTCATATTTGGTAACAATTTTTTCAAAGATGGCAATCCCATGGAAAATAAGTACAAAATAAACCAGCCTAAAGAATAACAATATAAGCGTCAAATAGACAATTGTTTAATTATTTAAATATTCAAGCATCAACAATGGAATCACACATTAATTTGTCTGTAATTGCTTAAATGCAAGTCTACGTGGTGGCCAGGTGTGGCACCGGCCCCCCCTGAAATTTGGCTGGCCACCCCAGGTGCCCCCCCTACCAGATGTCTTGCGATAGGCTTGTTTTGTAGTGCCCCCGACTGGCCACCCCACTTAAAATGCTCTAGACATGCCCCTGATCCTAGTTACTGTATATTTAGAGCAACTGCATTTTTAACTGTATATTTAGAGAACATAAAGAAATTATGATGGTAATGATATTGTTATTATATGCAGTTTTATAAAGTGGCGTGTTCCATTAATAAGAAAACCTTCTCAGTGAAGTGAAATGAAATGGCTGAGAATTATATCACAAAATAAATTGTGTATAGCAGCCTCATTTAAACAGATAAAGCTATAGTGACATTATATTGGTTCTCAACATCAGTGTCAACATATCTGAACACTAAACCAGACTTATCTGTTGATGCAGAGAACCATTAATTCCCCGAAACAGAATGGTAAAAATGGTTGATGCTTTTCAATTCCCAAAAGGTAAAATTGCTAACCTAAGTTAGTGATATTTAACATCTCATTTAGAACAATAAATCATTGTCAGACTTCCATGTCTCGGGTCGCATCCTGCCCCACTTCCCATAAAGACAAGGGAGTTTGTGATTGGCTCTCATCACAGCCACACTGGTGCAGGAGTCGGGCTTTCTGATGAGCTCACACCACTCAGGATAATCTACTGGTTGGGAGTTGCTGTCAGGGTGAGAAAACACACACTGAATATGTGCAGGTTAGTGGGTAGATTTGCCCCAACACATGCAAACAGCTTGGAAAGTTCAACAGTGTATAGATTTAAAAAATAACTTCCTGTAGGCTCAGAAGTGCAGACTTACTGATCACAGCAGCCCACCCCGAAGGGCTCCATACACACACACTGGTAGCAGTCTTTAGTAATCCAACTCTCGCCAATGCCGAAGACCTGTCCTAGATATTCACAGGTGCCTAAAAATAGCACAAAGAATTACGGTTTATGTATTTAGACATTAGTGCCACACATAAATAAAGTAAGGCCATTTATTTTAAGTGCGGTGATGTACCTTTGGTGTTGAATGTGCACTCTCCGCCTCTGTTCACTGATAGAGTTGGAGCAAGTGCGTTTAGCAGACAGGCTGCGATCAGCAGTATATGACCAGTGGGGACATTTGAACCCATCTGTAAAAATCCAGCTCTTCAATTATTATTTTGCCTTTATTACTTATCATTTGTAGTGAACAATACATTTGTATGCAGCACTTGGTTTCAAAGCTTTGTTTAAATCTTGTGGATTTCAGTTTTCATCATCAATGAGCTGTAATTCTAACTGTTTTGAGCATCACAGTATTTCCACAGCATTCATGTATGATGTTAATCAAAAAGAATATATGATACATTCATAACTGGCTGTTTCTTTCATCTCTCTCGAAATATAGCAATGGTACATTTTTTACTTGGTAACTAAATGTTTTGTTAAAATTTGATCGAGAATTGATAACGTTTTATTAAACCGTCAGCAAAAACAATATATTGTTTTACCTTTGAATCTTGTTTTTTGGTATTACGGTTTTCTTATTATTTTACAGTAAAACTTATTATAACTTGTAGTAAAACATTATTTTTATTTATTACTGTAGTTATTGCTTTAGATCATTTATATTACTTTTTAATATATTTATTTAAAAAAATTTTTTTTTAATTATATATCTTTATTTTTATCTTTTTTTCCTGACAGACTAACTAAACGATCCCTAAATTAAGACATATTCAGATACTGTATGTAAAAAGAAAATGTAAGACTTTATAAAAGGAAATAAAGATTTTACCTTTCCCCGTGAATCTTGTATAGCGATCTTTTCTGGGGTTTTGTTCTCCTGTGGTTTCCTTAAGAGACTCTTGAGTTTTATTGTGATGATGCTCCATGATCTCTGATATTTATACTGTACTTCTGCGCAATTGACCCTCCTACTTGACCATAACACACATAGATAAATATGATGTTATGCATTTTATACACAAAGCTGTTACTTTTAATTGAAGTTAATTTAATTTATGTTGCTTCAAGAAACAATGCATATTATTTTTGTGTTTTCGTGCACAGATAATAATAAACTAGACGTTGCATGCAGCAATGGAGGTTTAAGAGTAAAGACATTTTCAATTAGTTAAACAAGTCAAATCAAAAAATGAAAGTTAAATTGTGCACATGAACACATTTAACAAAAAAACAAGCTTGTTAAAAATGGTATGACAATATTTACTCCGTGTCAAAATGGATATTTATGCAGTCTTATTGATGTAATCGCGTATGCAATTACACTAATCTGTGTGTTAATAAATACACTGTGCACACTGTGGTGAAAATGCCAATCGCATGAATACATCCTTGATGTCCTATGTTTGGCCCTTCAAGCTATACTCATTTTTTGTACATGAGCAGTGAATTAGAACAAGATTATAAAATTGAGCTTTGTGTGTATCAATAACAAATACTTGCACAGATCCTTTTCTGACAACCTCATCCACTTCTGTTGTGTTCAGGGTTATATTGAGTATGCATTTAGGTATATATTCAGGGTTAAAATGTAGTTTTTAAAATTAAAAAAATAGCGAAAACACAGACATGTTGGGACCATTTTAAAATTACTTACGTAAAAATATTATGCTAGTAGTTGTGTACAAACATGTTTTAGAATATATTCAAAATATCAAAAATACAATTTCATGACATTTTATCTGTATAATTGGGTGTAATGCATCACCCCAAGATATATTTATATATATATTTTTAAATGGTGCTTTATTAGATGCATTACAGTTTTATTTTTTTAATAACCAGGATTTTTTTAAACAAAAAAAATATTGATTGAACTACATATACTTCTGCATACTTCTGTATGACAGCTGAGTAAAACTGGCAAAGAAAAGACCTTAAACGATGAAATCATCTTTACCGATCTCATGATGCCAAAAAAGAGCAATGACCAACCAAATGCTTCAGGCATATACAGTACTTTCTGTGTCATGTATTTTCACTATTCAGACTGAAATAGCATGAAATCATACGCAGTTTCCTTATAAAAATGTATAGCTGACATAACTTGAGCACATGGACTCTGGCTTTTTAGTTTTTAGACTTTCTGACTGCTTTCTGAGTCATGAGTTAAAGGTTAAATTCAAGCATTGCTACTTTCTCTCACACACACACACAGATTTATTATTTATTATTATTACACAAAGGCTACTGGTTATACTATACAAACCAAATCAGACAGTGATTCAAATGATTTGAGAACCAAAGAAGGATCGTCTGAAAGAGAGTCATCGCTCTTGATCTGAGTCAGACTATATATTGTGAAATTTGATGGTCCATAATGCTCCTGTTAGACTGTGGATGCCAATAGTGAGAGTATTGTTAAATTAGACCAAGCCTATTTAACTGACAGCCTGTTGGCCAGTTTCCTAGGTGAAAATCTTTTTCATGACAATTTAAAAATTAGATCTATAAACACTTTTATTTAGAGTGAACAAATAAAAAAATAAAAAAACATTGAAAACATCGTAAAACTCAACCTTTATGCAGATACCCCCCCCCAACACACACACACATTTTGACTACTACAAGTTGAATACTAGAAAAAGTTTTAATGAAAACTTAAATTAATTAATAATTAAACAATGATTACGTATATTTTCTCATATGTGAGTTTCTCTTTTTAAAGCCTGACATAAATGTGTCTTTGTAATACCTATAATAATTGATGAGTAAATGCAAATTATTACAATGCAGTTAGCCATTTAATTTCAGTTAGAAAGCATAAATAAGAACACCGAATTCAAAACTGGATCTTGAGGACTTACTGTACAATGCACTCTTAAAAATAAAGTTTCTTTATTGGCATGATTTCATGAAGAACCTTTAACATTCCACAAAAAGTTATTTGTTGTGGAAAAAGGTTCTTTAGATTATTAAACTGTTCTTCAGAAAAAAAATGGTTGTTTAAATAACTGTTCACGGAATGGTTCGTCGGGGAACCTAAAAATAGTTCTTCCATAGAATCACTGTGAAAACCTAAACTGTATGATACCTGAACAATTAAGCCAGCACAGTTGCAAATATCTCATTCAGAGTCAAAGTTACTTTGAAAAAATCTTACAAAGAAAGAATTGTTAAAACATAAATGAACAGAACAGAAAGTTTTACCATCAGCATGTAAAGAAATGAAAGCAAAGACATGAAAAACATAAATGAATTATGTCTTACTATGTGTTTTTATGTTGCTCAAATGCTATAAACCTGTTCAAGGAACAATCAAGAACGTAATCTTTGATGAACTCAGATGGTGAATGAAGAGAGGCCAAGAATGTGAAGATTTGTGCCAGAGTCTGTAGGAATATGTCTGATATTTAGTTGACGTGATATAAGGAAAGCAACCGAATATCAAACATATCACACAGTCCCTGACGTATCAGAACCTCACCATCATCTCATACAGCGTCTGAAAGAGAGCACAGATGTTTTGAAACGGAAATGAAGTTAGAAAAAATATGAGACAAAATGAAAGGAATGAAGTGCAAAATGGCAATATTTACACAAAGCTAATAATACTTTCTGCAAACCCTACCCCTAAACCTATCACTTTTTACGTTCCCGTTATTTAGTCTGTTATTTCAGTAATATTAAGATACTTTACCTGGCCTACAAACACACAGGGTAAATTAAGAGGTTCTAAAGAATAAACTAAACTAAAATGAAATCATTCTGGTTGTTTATGTAACGAACATGAACATTTTTGAACATGCATAAACTTGTCGAGTTTTTAGCATTGGTACACACAGACTCACACAAAATACTCACAGTTTTGAGACTCCAGGCTGAAATCATTCACATCCTCAATGTTTTTAAGTACATTTTGCTGGAAAGTGTCTTCTGTTATCATTTGCGTGTTAGCATGTCATGCACTGCAGCCAGTAAGTAAGAAAGTGTGCATGAATGTCACAAGTTTCAGTTGGGATGGGTGTATTTATACACCCCTGACCAAAGTTTAGCACCCTTCCCAAACCCCAGCGTATAGACGCACACATGCTCTCTCGCAGGGGTTAATTAAGAGCGCATTGATCACCTTGCCGCCGGCTCTTCCTCCTGCATTAGGCTGATCAATAGATGTGATTTCACACATACACTCACACAGAGGGCAACAGGGAGGTCAGTCAGACAAGCCTGTATTGCATCTGCAAACAAACTACCTCCCTAGTATATTTCTAGGATTGCAAATAAAAGTTGTAAACCCACAACACTTATTTAACAGTGATACATGTTTATCAGAGTGACTGGGGAAAAGCATAACCTGTTTGGTTTTACATAATGGAGAAGACGACAATTAAAGGGTTAGTTCACCCAAAAATGAAAATTAGGCTGCGTTTTACTCACCCCTGATGCATTCTAGGTGTA